AGATAAGCATTGTTGGGGTAGGTGTTGAGAGTTCCTTTCATGTGAAAGCTCCATATGCAGAAACAAAGTTTCCTTCCTCCGGCTCCACAGCATTTATTTATATCTAATAGTAAACATTCCAAGCCAGGTGTGGTGGCAAAAGTCTGTAATCCTAGCAGTCAGGAGGCTGAAGCAGGAGGATTGCTACAGGTTCAAGGCCAGCCTGGGCTACATAATGAGTTCAAGACTAGTCTGAACTATAGAGTGAAACCCTTTCTCAAAAAAATTTTTTTCTTTAATTAAAAAAAGTAAAATTTGGCAAACCAGCCTTGCAAGTAATGTCTAATCTCTGAACCAAAGGCAGCAATGAAGCGTCACATGTGCGTTTTTCACTCTGGGGCACTGTTCATACTCCACTACCTGGATGCCCGCAGGAGAACAGCCACATTCGTCAAAGAATCATTAATGCGATGACGGGGGCAGATCTGCAAACTTTGCAAACTTTAACACTTGCTTAAACATCTCCAGACAATCCAACATCACCACCACAAGGAGCCAGGAGAAACTCAGTGACTGATAAATCAACTGGCTGACATTCACAGTTATGAATTTCCACTAGAAAACTTTGAAAAAACTACGTAGGAACAGTGAAGCCGAGGCAAAAGGCTTGCAGGGGCAGGACCAGAGCGGGGGCATGAACTCAGTTCCACAGCCTGCTCTGCATCCTAAAATACTCCCCAGGAGGGTAATTCTATCTCCCTAAGCCTTCCTTCTCTGCAAAATGGTTTTAAAAATATCCTGTTAGGCTTGTTCTGAGGATTATAGAGTCCAAGTAATTCACAAGATACATTGTAATAAGTGTCGGGGAAGGCTTGGCTGAGTCAATGAGCCTTAGCGATGAAGAGTCCATTCCACCCTGACCCCTGGATAGTGTGCTGACCCAATCTACCCCTCCACCCTAGCTCACTGAGACAAGGCCACTCTTACAGGTAACCCCTGCTTCCTGGACACATCCCAAAGTATTTCACCTGAACTCTGGAAATATCTAACACATACAATAAAAATGATCATAAAACAGAATGGTCCACAGGAATAAATTTTTACAAAGTAGTGTAGAGAGCTGAGAATGTACCACTTGCCTCGCATGTGCAAGGCCTGTTTCACTGCATTTGATTTCTCCTTCCACTAAAAAAAAGTTTAGTTTTTACACTGTGAAAACTATAAACTATTCGAACTGGAGAACATCTAAATACCAGGGTTGGAGGGCTTAATATTACATTGGCAAATACTTTTCAAACTGATCCAAGATTCAATGCAATCCTTATCAAACTTTCAGAAGGTTTCTTTGTAAAAATTGACAAATTGATGCAAAACTTTATATGAAAAAGCAAAAAGAACTCAAATAGCACTAAAAAATAACCAAGTTGTATGACTCACACTTCTTGATGTTAGAACTTAGCTACAAACTTACAGTAATCCAGACAATGTGGTCCTGACATAAGCATAGTCTGGAAATGTAAATGAATGGGATGGAATTGAGAGCCCAGAAATAAATGCACATTTATGGTCAGTTGGCAAGAGCTGAAAGGTAGTTCAATGTGGAAAGAACAGTCTTCTTAGACAAGCATTGCTGGGATCACAGGGTAGCCTCATGCAAAAGAATAAAGCTCACACGGTATATAAAAATTAACCAAAACATAAATAGAAGTCATCTAAAGTAAAAGAGCTAAAACTGTAAAAACTTACAAGAAAATAATACAGACAGCCAAGTTAAGTAGAACTATAGTAGAAGTCAGTGCAAAAGATGGGACTCCATCAGGACCGTGGCTGGAGGCGCCTCTGAAGATTAAAATCAGAATGGCTAGTTCTACATACTTCCTTAGGTCACGAAGAGACTTCGGATTAACGGTATCATCCTTTTGAGATTTCCCATTATCTCAGTAGGTGGGAGGACCATCCTCTTCCACCTACTAAGACTATAAAACAGAGCCTACTAAGATCAAAATAAGGCCAAAACTATACATTATCAACAAAGGTTAATGATGTCAATCATGTACCCTTGCTACCACTGGATCAATACTACTTAAGCGACTATACTTGCAACCTTATTGGTTGATCATAATTTTGACTCATGTTGTTCCCACCTCATGATTTTGCTCTAAGAATTTCCTTTGAGGCGCTGGGGATTTAGCTCAGTGGCATAAGCACCTGCCTTGCAAGCAGGCGGTCATGAGTTCAATCCCCGGTACCGATAAAAATGAAAAAGACAAAAAAAAAAAAAGAATTTCCTTTGAGAGGTGGGCTTGTTGGTGACCCATTGGGAACCCTTCCTGTCTCTCAGGAGCTTTCTTGTTCCCCATTCCTATTCTCCAGTAAATTTTCCTACTCCTAACCTCCATTGTTTCTCAGAATTCATCCTTAGACTTTGGGGATCATAAACTTGATGTATTTGACATGTAGCATTTTCTTTCTTTCTTTTTTTTTTTTTTTTTTTTTTTTGTCTTTTTCGTTTTTATCGGTACCAGGGATCGAACTCATGACTGCCTGCTTACAAGGCAGGCGCTTATGCCGCTGAGCTAAATCCCCAGCCCCAGCATTTTCCCTATATCAAAAACAAGGATAAATCTCCATGACCTTGTATCAGGCAATAATTCTTAAATATGACAATAAAAACCTACGTAACAACAAAAATAGAGAAAACTAGTATCAAAATTTAAAATATTTGTGCTTCAAAGAGTACAATCAAGAAAATAAAAAAGATAACCCATAGAATGAAAGAAAAGTCTTTGCAAATCACATATTCAGGATATATACAGCCTAACAACGGGAAGACAAATATACCTATTTATTTGTCTTTGGTGTCAGGAATTGAACTCAGGACCGTGTGCCTGCCAGGCAGGCTCTGTGCCACTGAGCTATATCCCTGGGCCTATTTTTGGGTTTTGGAGACAGGATCTTACTATGTAGTTGAGGCTGGCCTTGAACTCACTATGTAGCACAGGCTGACCTTAAACTTGCAGTGATCCTCCTGCCTCAGCTTCTCAAGTGCTAGGATTGTAGCACCTGGCACCTATTTTTAAATAGGGAGAATATTTAAATAGAAATTTCTATATTGAAGAAAAATAAACTCTGAACACATGAGCACAAGAAAAAATGCTCAATATTTCCAGACATTCAGGTAAATGCAAATATAAGCCCCAGTGAGGTGCCACTTTATATATAACAACAATTGCTGAGCATGTGGAGAAACTGGAGCCCTTACAGACTGCCAGTGAGCATGTTAAGGAGTACAGCTTCTGTGGAAAACAATTCAACTTCTCAAACACACATACAGTTATAAGTATAGAAATATAGATAGATACACAGATAGATATAGATCATAGATATATAGCTAGGTATTATAGGATTCCATCGCTATGAGATGTCCTAAAGACGTAACCAGCAAATTAATGGTTCCCAAGGCCTGCAGGGAGCTCGCATGGAAGGGATGCTGATCAGTATGGAGCTCCTTTTTGGCAAGATGAAAATGTACTGAAATTACCAGTGATGGTTGCACAAATCTGCAAAGTACTAAACCCACTGAATTAAACATTCAAAAGGGATAAGTTTTATGTATATGAAGTACTGTATTTAAGAATAAAATGAAAGAAAAATAAACCAAGGGTTTCAGATGCCCCTAGTAACTCTTAACAGGTCCCTGCTCAGCTGACGTGACAAGCTAGAGAAAGGCACCCACGGCACCCTGCTCTGCTCAGGTGCTCTCCTGCCGCCGACCTCAGATGCTTCCCAGGGACTCACGTAACTTCACACGCACTCGAGCCACGGAAGGGAGAACAGCGTGGCTGCTGTGTATTACGAACTGTGCATCAGGTGTTGTTGGAGCAGGCAGCACCACTCAGGGGGAGCCCATCAGAGCAGCCTTGGGTTGCCCCAGGCAGTCTCCCGTGCACAGAGCACTGGGTGCCCTTCCATCCGTATTCAAGGCGTGTGCGACAAACCCACTTCTTACTTTTGGGACTTCAGCCTCAGCCTCATGTGTTTCTGGCAGGGCTGCTAGATAAACACAGAGCACCTAGTTGAGTTGTAACTCCAGGTAAATAATGAATAATTTTTAGCAGGAGGAGCACATTCCAAGTATTATTTTATTCATTGTTTATCCAAAATTTAAAATTTAACTGTGTACCCTGTTTTTTATTTGCTAAATCTGGCAATGCTACATACAGGCCTCCATGTCATCCCCGAGACACCTGAACCACACTCTTACCTCAAATCTATGCATTACATCTCCCTCTGCCCAAAGTTCTCTTGTCTCACCAGCAAAGACAAACCTTTTAGGGACCAAGTGCCCAAACTCCAACCTGAAACCCACTTGGTTATCACGAAGTGCCCACTCTGCAATTAAACCTGAATACTGGGGTTTTAGTTCAGAAAAAAACAAGGTGTATGTTAACATCTTGGTCTTAAAAAGAAAAAACACAATAATACGTGTGCCATAAGGTCACCACCACTGCCCCAGACGACACAGCTCCCTCCGTCTCTAGATCTTTGTCAAACAGCTCCACAGTGCAGGCTGGGTCCTCCCCACCTTCCAGGGAAGAGTGGCTTCCACCTGCACTCTGGCCCCGGGCTCCCCAGCCAGGTACGATCTGATCCTCAGCCGGTTGGTTACTCAGCCACTGGCCCTTTGCTTACACAAGGCTCAGGGCTGCTTGATTCACTGCCCTGTTCCCAGCACTTACAACAGGGCCCAGCACAGAGGAGGCAACAAGTTAATATTTACTGGGTGGACACAACGTGCATGGATTATCTCATCTAATCTTCAAATAGGCCTTGAAGACAAGTATCAACAGGGTGTCACAGATGAGGGCTCAGAGACACAGCCTTCCGACCCACCTCCCCACGCCAGCTCAGTGTCGCAGGCCAAGGTACCCGTTGATCTGACAATTGCTGTTTGACATAGAGCGCTAGAAATAACCACGTAAGCACCCATGAGAGAAGTTGGTGTGGGTGTCTATACTCACTTTTATTTCTTCTTGAACGTCAGGGTTTCGGAAGTTTAAATCAGGTTGCTCCTTGGTAAACTGGTGATAGTAACACTGCTTTCGCACTTCGTCAAAGTGCCAGCTGGAGTTTCCGTAGACGCTTAGCTAGCAGACAGACACAGACAGCACAGCACGTGCTTAGTGTTATTCTTATCATGATATTGTTCACAAAGATACAACCACTGCCATGCCTGGCCCTGTGCAGGTAGAGTGCGTAAATGCTGAATTTTTCCTCTAAGAATATTAGCAGTAAGCTAAATTAATGCTGAAAATGCTATCTGTGTTGCCCAAATGCCCCCGAAATGTGGCTGGATGGATTCATCTAGTAGTTCTGCTCAAAGAGTATCATGGCAAACTGATACTCTCAAATTCAACAAGGCCATCTTTTTTTTTTTTTTGGTTCCAGGGATCAATCTCACAACCTCACACTTGCCAGGCAGGTGTGTAAAAGCCACTGAGTTAAATCCCCGGCCTCAACAAGGCCATCTTAAAGAACTCACATTGCTAACCTATTTCTTGACTTTTCTCCCAGGTTCTGGAAGAACTTATCTTGTTAGTGAGGTAACACAGATGGTTGCCAATGTGGAAGAAAATGACATTCCATTAGTCTAGGAGCTTCATCCTGGATACACGGAATACTTAACGTGTACTTCCAGAAAGTTTCTATTAGAATCATTCACTTAAAATTCTACTAGTCCTCAAGAATAAAAATCCAGCCATTTGAAGTGCTAAAACCCAAACATTATAGCTGATTTTCTCTTTCTAGAAATGTTCAGGTGTAGGGATCCAGTTAAGACTCCCCTGGTCCCCCAAATCTCTAAACACACTTCTTAACCTACTCTGTGACCTTTGAATGTGACAGGTTCCTGGGCTTTACCTCAGGCTTTTTGTTCATTTCTTGCTAAAGAGAGCATCTGGAATACATTAAAAACTGGGGCAGGGTTGGCATCAATCTTATTTTTAGTTGAAGACCCAGTTATTCAGGCTCCATACTTCCATGGCAACTGTCCAAAGCTGAGAGGCAGCTGCTACCTTTCAAGGAAACATAGGCTCTTGCTAGTTTACTGGGTGACCTGCCTAGATACAACCCAGGATGGGTAGTTACCATGTGTCCAACCAACAAAAGAACAGGATACACGGTGCACAAAGAAGCTGGATGTGGTGGCACATGCCTGTAAACCTAGCACTCAGGAGGCTGAGGCAGGAAGACTGCTGTGAATTTGAGACAAGCCTGGGTTACATAAAGCAAGTTCAAGGCCAGTCTGGACTATGTAACAAGTACCTATCTCAAAAAAAAAAAAAAATTCTGAAAGAACTCCACAAAGCAACTTCATAGGGACAAATAATCCAAAAGAGAATTTGGGAAAGAAACCATAAACAGATGTTCACAGAAATAGATGCTCAAGAGAATAAATGAACAAAAAGATTTGCAACATCGTTAGTAATTAGATAATTACTAGACTGGTAAATAAATCATCACCATTAATTAGATAAATGAGATAATATTATGTTCACATGAACAGCTAAGACTACAAAATCCAGCCAATACCAGGGTTTAATAAGAATACGTATTTTCCTGAAAGCAAGGTCTCACCAACTTGCCCAGGCTGATCTCAAACTGTGGCAATCCTCCCGCCTCCTGAGTGCTGGGCTGGTGGGCATTTGCCACCTGGCCTGGATACTCTTAGTTATTTGATTTACAGAAGCCCTTGAAAAGGGGCCTTAAGATAGGTTAACCAAGGATTTGTGACACTGATAACAATTGTAAAAACTGGAGATAGGCTGTCTGTCACCTGAAGAGCAAATAAGTAAATCAGGGGATCTTACACGATGAACTACTGGACAGCAACAAAAATGTATGACTCACAGCTAACCAGAACTACAAGGCTAAATCCTAAAGATGAGTCTTTCAAAGCCAGCTTTAGAAGATTATATGAGTCTGATGCTTCTCATAAAGTTCAAGGTAAAGAAAACTTTAAAACAAACCTTAAAAATATACCACTTGTGATACAGAAAAAGCAAAAGGTAAGAAGCTGAAAAACCAAAATCCAAGGTAGTGGTTCCTTCTAAGAGCAAGCCCGGGAAGGGGACAGGGAAGAGGAGTGGCTGCTGTGACAGGGTCAGCAGGGGCCAGCTTTGCAGTTGGGTCTGTGTATGTGGCAGTGTTGGGATTCACTGATACTGTATTAGTATCTTCCCAAGCTCAGAAACATATTATATATGCTTTTAAATTAAATCTTTTCAGGTATAATTAAGTGCATTAAAACATACTTCTTCCTTTCTTTCTTTCTTTCTAGTCCAGATTGGCCTCAAACTCCCAGTGATTCTCCTGCCTCAGCCCCCCAAGTGCTGGGATTACAGGTGTGCACCACCATGCCTGGCTAAACAATACATTTTTAAGGTGTCTGGTTTGATCAGTTTTGACATATATTCACCATTACCATAACCAAGATAGTGAACATAACTTTCCTCGTTTCCTTTTGTTAAATCCCTTCCTCTCATCTCTATATTTCTTCTGTCCCTAAATAACCCACAATCACTTCCTGACACTATGGGTCAGCTTGCATTTTTCTAGAGTGCCATGTAGAAAGGATCATTACAATATATACTATTTTCTTCTGGCTTGTCTCACTTTGTGTAGTTATTTTGTTGCCTATCCCAATGATCCGTTCCCTTTTATTGCTGTCCCATGATCACACTGCGACATGTTTATCCATCTATTGGATATTATATATATTTTCTGATGTGTTAACTGCTCTATTAGGAAATGCAACCCCTTGCCTACAGTGGCAGGCTGACAGATGAAAGGATAGGAAAACTGATGTCAGAAGAGGTAGCTGGTGCCACCCTATTGCCAACAGATTATACAGTTAGAGGTACAGATGACACCTTTTAAAAGCGGACTGTAGAGGTGGACGGAAGACATCTGGGCCTCAGCCCTTTCGTTTACTAGCTCTGGGTGACACCAGCCATCGTGTGTGCAGAAAGGAAACTGCACCTGATTCATAGTCCTAAGGATGGGTCAGGGGAACTAATGATTATGAGACACTTAACAGAGAGCCTGGCACACAGTAAGCGTTTAATAAATGTTGCCAGTGTCACCATCATTTTAACAAGTGCGTGGATTAGAAGGGGAAAAATTACACAGATGAGTGTGCTGGGACCTGTTAGTCCCCAGGGTCAGAGCGGTGCAGATCACTGAGTCTGGGGGCACAGGATCGGGAGTAGATGGTCACACAGTCACCCTGAAATATGTCAACTGAGTGTCATCTAAAATACATTTTTTTTTTTTTTTTGTCTTTTGCCTTTATATCAGTACCGGGGATGGAACTCACGACTGCCTGCTTGCAAGGCAGGCGCTTATGCCGCTGAGCTAAATTCCCAGCCCAACCTGAAATACATTTTAAAATTGTTTCTATTTTGAACTTTATAATAGTACCCATGAACCATTGTGTTTAAATGTTTAAAAAGGTCAAAAAGTAAAGAGGATGCTGGGTGTGGTGGCTCACGCCTGTAATCCCAGCACTGGGGAGGTTGAGGCAGGAGGATCGCTGCCAGTTCGAGACCAGCCTGAACTGCAGAGTGACACTCTGTCTCAAAATGACCAAAAAAAAAGTGAAGAGGATGCCCTAAGTTCAATCCCCGTACTGCCAAAAATAAAAAATAACAATAAAACAGAAAAGAAGAGGAAAGGAGGTACCAGGGTAGGGCAAGATGATCTAGAGTAACAGGCTTGGAAGGAAGCAGATCAGGAAGATCTGGCCGGGCACGATAAAGCTGCCAGAGTACAGGATACTCAGACAAACCTGCATGCTAGAAAACAGCACATGACATTGTAGGACAGCCATGCCTTGACATCCGAGGAAATTTGTTCCTGAACCACTACCCCAACTTGGATACCAAAACCTGCAGATGTTCAAATTTTTTCTGAACTTTTTTTTTTTTTTTTTTTTTTTACTGGTACCAGGGATGGAACTCACCACCACGTGCTTACAAGACACTTATGCCGCTGAGCTAAATCCCCAGCCCCCAAATTTTTTCTAAAATAGCATAATATTCACGCAGAACTGACCCACGTTTTCTCTAGTTTAAGTCACCTCTAGATTACTTGTAATACCTACTCCAATGCAAATGCTACGTAAACAGTTGTAACACTGTATTGTTTAAGGGTTTGTGACCTGAAAGAAAAGTCTATACTAATTCAGTAAAGATGCAATTTTCTTCTTAAATATTTTCTGTATGTATTGATGGAGTCTGTAGACACAGAGCCTCCAGGTATGGAGGGCTAGCTGTATAAGCATAACCTACACAATATTTTATAATGAAACAAAATTTTTGTCTTTTTGAGACAGGTTGCACTATGTAGTTCAGGTTGACCTTGAACTGACTGTGTAGCCCAGGCTGGTCTCAAAATCACAGCAATTCCCCCGCCTCTCTCCTGAGTACTGGGATTACAGGCATGTGCTACTATGCCCAGTTTATGCCCTATTTATATAAAATCAGATTTGACTGGATAGGCTAAATTTGTATTTGCTAAATCTGGTTACCCCAGGCAGGAAGGATGTGGGCTCCATTATACAAGAAGGCGGGGATGGGGCAGGCAGGTGGGATGGCTCCCGTCCCCTCTGTGAAGCACGGTTTGCTGCCGAGCGTGATGATGTAGGAAGGAGGCAGGTGTAGAGTTTAAAGAAAAAGGAGGGTATGATGACTAGTTGCACTTAATGAATTTCCCAAGAAGATTTATGGTTTAGTTCAGGTGGGAACAGCAAAAAAGTCGGATGTGTTCCAAGGTACAGATACCAAGTTTCAGACAAAGAGGAAGCAGATGGTTGTACTCTTTATAACTAGGGTTTTTTATGCTTTTCCTTAAGAAAGCTTCCTGAACAACCAGGTCTCTCACTACAGATCTGCCCCGTGCAGGTTGGGGAGGCCGGGACTCACCCAGTTGTTGGGAGGGATGGTCAGGCCGTTCTCGTGGGCACAGTCATGCCAGATGTAATAATCAGTGTATTTCCCAGTCCGCGTCCTACTCATTTCAAACCAAGGATGTTTATCGCTGGTATGGTTTGGTATGAAATCCATTACTAATTTTAAACCTAATGAGTGAAAACATTTCCAATGTTAGTAGAAGAGTGCAGTGGAATATTACACAGTGAGGAAGGGGAAATGCTTTAAGTGAACGTGTGGTAAAGTACTTTTCTTGCCTCTCACGCCCTCCATCCACCTCCCACACAATTCACCTTTATCATGTATGGCTGCAAGCAGATTCTCAAAATCTTTCATTGTTCCAAAAATAGGATCAATTTCTTGGAAATCTTCAATGCCGTATCTGAAATCTTTCAGGGATGATTTATAAAACGAAGTAATCCAAATAGTTTTTATATTTAAAGCACTGATGTAATCCAGTTTATCTTGAATACCTGCAGGGAAAACCAAAGGCATCAATAAATCTTAGTCTACTTGTTTGTTTGCTTTTATTTGAGGGACGAAAAATAAAATAGCCAGGCCTGGTGGTGCATGGTTAGAATCCCAGTACTTGGGAAACTGAGGCAGGAGGATCCCCTTGAATTCATAGTCAGCTTAGGCTATATAGTGAGTTCAAGGCCAGCATGTATTACAGGGAGAGACCCTGCCTCAAAAATTAAATTGAATTAAAATGAATATGTCAAAGATCAAAGTATTTATACTGGAGGCAAAAATATTTAGAATTTGTTGAATTTGAGTCAAACATAAATAGTAAGGTCTAGCTCTAAGAAAAACATCTAATTAGTCTTCCAGCAATAACCTTTGACCTTCAACATAGATGCTTATAAATATTTATTTATTTATTTAGTCTTTTTTTTTTTTTTTTTTGTCTTTTTCGTTTTTATCGGTACCAGGGATCGAACTCACGACTGCCTGCTTGCAAGGCAGGCACTTATGCTGCTGAGCTAAATCTCCAGCCCCTTAGTCCTTTTTTTGAGACAGAGTGTTGCTATGCAGTTCAGGCTGGCCTTGAGCTCACTTTGTAGTCCAGGCTGGTCTCAAATTTGCAACAATCCTCCTGCCTCAGCCTCCCAAGTGCTGGGATTACAGGAGTACGCCTCCACACTTGGCTTAGATGCTTATAAATAAGATCTGTTACCTATTCTAACTTTACATTTTAAATCAAGACTATATGTAGTATCATTGCTTTATTCTATGCATGGTATACAAATAGGTGCTGGGCTAGTGGCCAAGGAGAAACGAAGAATAACCCACTGAGCCTGGCGGTCACACAGCCAGGACCACAGCCACTGCCACACGTGGCTACCGGGCACACATCATGTGACTGGTCCTAATCGAGGTGTGCTGTCACTGTTAGTGTATACTGGCAAGAACTGGGACAACATCCAGACCAGGAGGAGAGCAGTGCAAGGTGATCTAAGGGTAGCTGATCAGGGAGGCGTGGGCAGGGGACACAGTGGAGGGCTTGCAGGTGGGGGAAAGGAAATAAGGAACCAGACAGTCAGGGCGTGTCTAAAAAAAGCTGGGTCCTGGGTTTCACCATAGTAAATAACCCAAATGTCTCATGCAGGATGGGACTGGGGAAAGAGTACAAAAGCATGGCGGAAGGTAGGTGTGCACACAAGGATCTTGTATGCTATTCTCGGACTGCTTTAGAGAAGTTGAGTTGGACTTTTCTCCTTGTTCACCTCCACAGGCAGCCAAGAACTGACACAGAAGAGAGCCCAGGCCTGGCTGGGAAGAGGTATGAAGTGAAACTCCTTGTACTTGGAACCTTGTAAGATAATTAGCAGATAAGTGACTTCCAGGTCAGTGCTGGAATCGCAGATTCACAGACCTGGGTCTAGGGTTCAATCTCCAGCAGCTTCCTGTGTGATTTCAGTGTGGCTTCCCACAGCAAATCACGGAGTCCACGACCAGCTGCAAGTCCCTGGGTCTCCAGTGTCTGGAGTCTTCCCTGCACAGGCCGCCTCCTTTTCTCTCGTGTTTCAGTCACAAAGTATCAAGAAGGGACAAAAGGGTTTCAGCTAAACTAGAACAATGTGACTGATGCTCACAGCAAGCTCAGGGGGCAGTGTGTGCACCTCAGTCGTAGAATGTGTGCTCAGCACGTGCCTGGCCTCAAATTCCATGCCCGGCATTAAACACACACACCCACATCCACCACACACACACACGCACAGGAAAGAGGCTAGACAGACTCAAAGTAAACAGGGAATCCCAGCCTGACCCTCTGAGGGACAGAAGGCAGTCACCAAAACTAAACATCATACCTGGATTGGTTCCTCCGTAATCACAACAGAATCCCCTCAACCCCAAGGACCAGTGCTTGTCAATCACAGGTAGCAACCACTCTCACAGGACAAGTTATCGGAAATGAAAACATGTAAGAGGGGGGGCTGGGGATTTAGCTCAGCGGCATAAGCACCTGCCTTGCAAGCAGGCAGTCGTGAGTTCGATCCCTCGTACCGATAAAAATGACAAAGACAAAAAAAAAAAAAAGAAAGAAAGAAAACATGTAAGAGATGACTGCAGACATCCCTGTGCCTGCGAGTTTGGGTTTTATCTAGAAGGAAGTTAGGAAGGCAGGGCTGGGGCAGGCAGTTTATCTCTAGATTTAGGGATTTGGTTTGTACTCAGTCAAGAGGCTGCTCTGGTTTAGCATGAGTATATAAGAGGCAGCAGGCCCTGGGGTCAAGTGACAAGGAAAGGAAGCCACTCAGGTGCATCTCCAGGCCTTAGCAAAGGGTGCTATCAGCACAGTCCAAACACCCAGGAATCTGTGGTGGGGCTGAGGCCTGAGCAGGGAGCTTAAAGGCTAGTAAAGGCAATGAGTCTGCGCCACACCTTGGAGACAAATATGCAGCTCTTTAACTTGTGAAGTCACAGATGTTTTTAGAAAGAGAAAATGGGACTGCACATGAAACTTAGTGACTGAGCTCCTAGCAAGGCACAGGATTTGATCCCCAGTGCCACCAAAAAAAAAAAAAAAAAAAAAAAAAAAAAAAAAAAAAAAAAAAGAGAAAAGGAGAAAAATGACAGAAATGTGCAAAAGGGAAGATTTTTAAGGCTTTTGCTAGTTATTAACGAAATCTGGATTTCAAGAGTTCATGTGCAACATTTTAAAGATGAATTAAACCTCTTTCTGCACCTCACGCTGCATTATATTATTATCTTGCTTTCTTTATTTTTGGTACCAGGATTCAAACTCAGGACCTTGTACTTGCCAGGCAGGCACCACCCTGCTAAGTTATATCTTGGCATTGTCTTGTTTTATTTTCTTCAAATAATCATTAAAATTTTGCTTGTTATCTTATTTATTTGATTTTTATTGTTGCTTTTAATTGAGGTGAATACACCAATTTGCCAAAGACAATCCCATTTTATGTCTTTTATTTGAGACAGGGTCTTGATATGCAGTTCAGGGGAGCCTTGAACTCACTGTGTAGTCCAGGATGATCTTAAACTCATAATAATCCTCCTGCCTCGCCTCCTGAGAGCTGGGATTACAGGTATGAACCACCATGCCTAGCACAATTTTACTCCTGAAAGTGGTCTGGTCAGAACGATAAATTTTAAGTGCATTCTATAATTCTCTAGAATATTATTAGCTTAACATTTTTTTCAGACAAGGTCTCACTCTGCAGTTCAGGCTAGCCTTGAACTCACAGTAATCCACCTGCCTCAGCCTCCCAAGTGCTAGGGTTACAGGCTTGTGCTAATATGTCCAGCATTAGCTTAACTTTAAAAAATAACTTTTCACTTCTACTTTTCTACTTATGTGAATATTATCTTAAATAATCCTTAATCCAAATAACAACACACTGCTATGTCCACACACACACACACACACACACACACACACACACACTTCCCTTCATTTCTCAGGAATGTGGAAGATTTGGCCTCTGCCTTTCAAAGACCCTGTTTAATTCTCTGCAAATATTTATGCTTTACTTAAAAGCGGTTAGCCAGACTGTCAAATAAACCACATCAGCTACTGGTAAAGCAGTTCTCAGCTGTAAAGCTCTCTGAGATTCCCAGCTCTAAAGTGCACAGAAAGCAAGAGGTAGATTTTCAGAGGAAACGGGCCATGAGTAAGAAGTGAGAACTGACCAGTAAACAAGCATCTCGACCTTGTGGGCAGTAAATCAAATGGTACTTTCTTACTCAAAGGTAAATAACCTTTCATCCTGTGGAATAATTGCTGGTTCTGCTGAGTGGCTTTTAGAACGCCATAAACAGAGACACTGGAGAGGGCAGTCGCAGGAAAATGCCTACCGGGAAGCCCAGGCAGATTTCAGTTTCAAGGCGGAGAAGGCCACAGTCCAGCCTCTTTGTGGCCCCTTCACTGGCCTGGCCTGGCCTGGGAACACCTACCTCTCAGATCTCCATTCCCATCCTTGTCGCTGTCCTTGAAGGACCTTGGGTAGATCTGGTACATGGGCCCTGCCTGCCACCAGTCGAGGCACTTTGGAGAGATGGCGATGATGGCCACGGTGACCCCGATGAGCAAAAGCACAGCCACAATGGTGAGCCAGAAGAGGATCTCCCGGGGCACGCGGTAGCGGGCCTGGCCCGAGAACTGGAACAGCACCTCCTTGGGCATCCCCGCGTAGGGCTGCACACCCTGGCAGGCGGGCTCCTCGGGGCCCGCGATGCTCAGGGCCTGGTGCTGCAGGTCATTCGCAGAGCTGCTGGGATCTGGATCCAGCTCCGGGGTGTCCTCATTCTGGACAAAGCCATTGTTTGTCCGACATCCCTTCATACTCAGCCGGAGGGAGTCTGTCTTGCCCTTGTCTTCAGTCATGCTCCTGCCGTAGGTAGTGACCCTCCTGGGTAGCTTCCTGCAGAGGACAGGAGGAGAGGTGGCTTTGCGAAGTGCTTTGTCTTTAATGAGCCCTGCATGGTTTATAAATAAACCTGGCTGGACAAAGTCCAGCCAAGGAAGAACGGGTAAAGGTGGAGGGGGTTTACAATTTTCTTTCTATATGAGGAGGCGGAGGTAGCTACACAGATACACACGGACACAGGTGGGGAGCGGGAGGAAGAAGCAGAGTTCCACTGGAAGATGTTGCCTGGTTGAGTGCCCCATAGTTCTTAGCCCAAAGGTTAAAAAGGTGGAAAGTATACAGCTGTACACCCCTGGATAGACAGATAAACAATACATGGAATACCCACACAATGGAGTACGATTCCACCTTAAATGGAAGGGAATTCTGACCAGGGCTACATCGTGGATGAAACATCATGCTAAGTGAAGTAAGCCACACTGAAAGCCAACTGCTGGCTGAGTCCACTTCAATGAGGTCCTCGGAGCAGTCAGATTTAGGGAGACTGAACGTAGGGGCTGCCAGAGGTCAAAGGGTTACATTTCAGTGGGTGCAGAATTTCAGTTTGGGGTGAAGAAAACTTTCTGGAGATGGACAGTAGTGGTGGTTACATAACAATCTCAGTGTCATGTACCATTGAGCCCTATGCTTAAAAATGGTTAAAGTGATCAATGTTAAGTCTATTTTTTACTGACACGTTTAAAACTTTGAACTTCTCTTTTTAGAGGAGTGTAAGGAAAAAAATCTTGAATTTTGTGCTATGGAGAATGCAAAATTATTTTGTATGAGGAAGCAAGGCTTTTCTGTTTTTGTTGTGTGAGACAGGGTCTCGCTGTAGAGTTCAGGCTTGTCTTGGACTCACTTTGTAGCTGGGCTGGCCTACAATTTGCAGTGATCCGCCTGCCTCAATCTCCTGAGTGCTGGGATTACAGGCGTGCACCACTGTATTCAGCTTGGTTTTTGTTTTGAAGGTCTACTGTTTCTTATAAAACCATACCAAGAGGATCCGGAAGCTGAGAACTATGCTTTGTTAACTGAAGTTAATTTTATTTTATCTCAGTTCAGGCAGAGCCCAGATTCTTCCGTGTGTGTGCTCACCACCCTCCAAGCGTACTAAGTACTACGCAGCGAAGCATGTGCTGCCCATAACTAGAAGGATGTCTCTAAAGTGGGGTGGGGCAAAGGGAGGCTGTGTGTAGAAATTCAAGTGCTTTGCTAGAGGTAAATAATCCTCACCACCAGCACCAAACAGTTGCTTGATCATTGACAAGCACAGCATGCATTCCCAGGGCAGAAAGACTGAATTTTAAGGCTGGAAGTGCTTTTCCAGAAGACTCTGTAACTTTAAAAGAATGTGATGATTCAAGACTTCCTTTTATCAGTGGCACTTGATACAGCCCTGTGACTCATTCCATAAAGGAGAAAAGTTACCGGGGTCCCTAACACTGCTGTTACTGTTGTTTGTAGAGTCTTAGAAACTGCATGGCCCAGAGGAATGAGCTATTTAATCTCAGCCAATGTATTTTTTAAAATGAGCATCTCTCTATACCTGGCTCACTGATCACTTCCATAAGTAATATCTCTCATCTTCATTAATTAGGCATTGTGACCATTTTAAAAATCAAAGAAATTGGACTTTCATGTCACAATAATGCTTTATGTTTCAAACACACGATGGTAATTTTCACAACTGAAGTTAATTCTTGAAATTCAGTTATTACTCAGGAAAAAATGTCAAGTGCAAAAACATCTACATTTTAAAATAAATTTAAATTATAAAATATTTTAATAATAAAACTTTAAACCCTAAATGTACAATGATAAAAATTCTTCATCATGGCTCTGCCCTCAAGCAGAAATATTCCTTTCCATCTTCTCTACATTTTATTTAAAATAACAATTAACTGCATTTCTAAAACACACAAACTGGAAGCTTTTAAAAACTGTTTGGAATAGTTATGTGGTCTTTGGAGACGGGTATTTATTTAATACTAAAATAAATTAAAAATAAGATTTCTTTTTGGGGGTTCTTTTTTGTTTCACTAGGTTTTTTGTTTTGGGGGTTTTTTTGGATTTACAATATCATGAAGTATATTAATTGAAGAACATTGGGAAATATATTTGCAATAAATATGCTGAAGAAGAGACTCCAATTAGGAACATTTTATGAAGCTGCTGAAAGGTACAGTAAGTTTTTACCTTTGTTCTTTTTTTTTTTTTTTTTTTTTTTTGGTGTGTGTGTGTGTGTGTGTGAGTGTGTGTGGACTTGGGGATTAAACTCACAACCTTGGGCTTACCAGGCAGGCACTTGTGCCATTGAGCTATATCCCTGGCCCAAGATACAGTAAGTTTTAACTAAAAATTACAAGAAACTCATGCAGTTTTTTTTAATGCATCAGTTATTAACTCCAAGATAAATAAAACATGTTAAAAGTTAGTGTACTTGTTAACCATGAGATGTCAATTTAAATGGATTAGGAAATGCCTAACAGGTTAGTAAAGCATACTTCTGGTGTCTGGGTGGGTTGTGGAGTGTTATTTTGGGTGCTCTATATGGTTCTGACCCCTTTCTTTCTTCTCTAGCCTGGTTCTCCTGTTTGGCTTCCCAGATAACACAAGGTGAGCAGATTTGTACTGCCACACATTCCGCCATGTTCCTGTGACTGAGCTAGCCAACCATGAACTGAGTCCTCTGTAACTGTGAGCCAATGACACTTCTCTATGTTGAGGATATCAGGTATTTGTCCCAGCTACAGGAAAGCTGACTAATGCCGTTAGACTACATGATAAGAAGCTGGCATGTTCACAAGTCAGAGCACACGGATACAGACCATGCCAAGTGATTCAACCCAATATCATTAGAGGACCGGCTTGGCTTACCAATGATCAGCAATGGAAATATCAACTCAATCATTTAAACAAGAATTATGCTATAACTATATGAGAAATAAAAATGGTATAGGAAAAGATTAAAATTCTCCAAAGCTGTGGTATGAAGTCCAAACAGTACATAATGTCTCAAAGGTATGAAGCAAGAGATAACAACCAATCAACAGAATGTGACTTGTCTGTAATAGTAGCATGTATTTATGTGATAAAAATAGACTTAAAAATAAATATGTCAGAAAAGCTAGGCATAATGGCACATACCTGCAATCCCAGACTCTGGGAGGCTGAGGTGATTGCAAGTTTGAGCCAGTCAGAACAGCCTAAAGATTTAACAAGACCCTGTCTCAAAATTTAAAATTAAAAAAGGGGCTGGGGATGTAGCTCATTGGGAGGACCCTGGATAACACACACATACACACACAGACACACACACACACACACACACAGAGGCAAAGAATCTTTTTTTTTTTTCTTTTTTTTGAGCCAGGGTCTCTCTATGCAGTTCAGGCTGGCCTTGAGCTCACTTTGTAGCCCAGGCTGGTCTCAAACTCGCAACGATCCTCCTGCCTCCGCCTCCCGAATACTTAGATTACAGGCATGCGCCACTATGCCCGGCAGAATCTGTTTTTAAACATTATATATACATATATAGAAATTTACATCAATTAAAAAATATGAACAACAACTGGAAATTTGGGAAAATGTAAACAAACATTTCACAAAGAACAATTCACTTATATTGGAGACATAAACAAGCATTTTCAATCACATTGGCCAAGAAGTTTTAGAATTAGCTGGGAGTCACGATGCACATCTTTAGCCCCAGCATTTGGGAGGCTGAGGCAGGGAAATCGCAAGTTCAAGGCCAACCAGAGCTAAAGTAGCCCTGGTAAAAGTCCAACACATTGACATGATAATTCTTATATTTCACACCATGAGCTTTAACATCTTTCTGGGCAATTAAGTGAGGATAACTTTACTAGATTTTAAAACAAAAACTATAGAAAAATGGAGCTGAGACCAAAGAAAAAAAGATCAACAATTAAACAGATTAGAATCATGAAAAATTAGCTTTCAATATAAGGACATATAAAACAGAATTTAACATATAGAATATAAGGACATATATAATGGAATTCAAAATACAGAAAAGCAACATTTCAAATCTAAGTAAAAAGCCAGGTGTGGTGGCACATGCCTGTAATCCAGCACTCAGGAGGCTGAGGCAGGAGGATCCCTGTGAGTTCAAGGCCAGTTTGGGCTACGTAGTGAGTCCAGGTCAGCCTGAATTATATAATAAGATCCTATGTCAAAAAGAAAAAAATGAAATCAAATCTGAGAGAATAAAGATTATTTAGTAAATGATACTGGACAACTAGTTAGCTATTTGAAAAAAATAAAAGCTTTGTAATTTACTTTATTCCTTAAATCAAAAACAAGTTCTGTGTAAATCAGATTTGCTTTGTTATGGGTTTGGGGTTTTTCTAGACAAGGTCTCCCTATGTACATGTACATGGTTTGGGCTGGTCTTGAACTCACTTTGTTGCCTACGCTGGCCTCAAACTCAAAGCAATCTTCCTGCCTCAGGCTCCTGAGTGCTGAGATTACAGGCTTGTGCCACCACACTCAGTTTATGAATCAGATTTAAAGGAAAAAAAAAAAAACACCCAAAACCCAAAAAAACTGTCAAGAGAGTATGTTAGTGCACACCCGTAATCCCAGGATTTTGGAGCTCCTGTAATCCCAGGACTTTGGAGCTGAAGGAAGAAGGGTCCTAAATTCAAGCAGAGGCTGGCCAACTTAGTGATTTAAGAAGATCCTGTCTCAAAAAATAAAAGCACTGGGGCTGGGGGTTTAGCTCAGCGGCATAAGCACCTGTCTTGCAAGCAGGCAGTCATGAGTTCGATCCCTGGTACCGATAAAAAATGAAAAAGACAAAAAAAAAAAATAAATAAATAAAAATTAAAAAAAATAAAAGCACTGGTGATATAACTCAGTGTAAGGGTCTGGACTCAATCCCCAGCACCATAAAATAGAGCAAAACAAAATGAAAGGAACAGACAAATCTATAGAGAAAAAAGTAAACGACGAACTAGAGGAAAATGCCTGTAACACAGCTAACAAGGTAATTTTCATAACACAGAAATATACTTTATAAATTAGCATAGAAAGCCAGGTGTGGTGGTGCACACCTGTAATCTCAGCACTCAGGAGCCTGAGGCGGAGAACTGCTGTGAATTCAAGGCTACATAGTGAGCTCAAGGCCAGCCTGAACTATATAGTAAGACCCTCTCTCAAAAAGACAAAAAAACAAAAACAAATTAACTCAGAAAAGTAGAAAAAAGAACAAAGGGTATAAACAAACCATTAACAAGAAAAAAATACAAGTGGTAAATAAACATAAAGTGCAAATTCCACTCAAAATTAAGTAAATCAAAAGGTACTTAAATACCTTTTAATTTTAAAAAATATCATTTTGGTCTAAATGAGAAAATCTGAGAATACCCAGAACCAGAAAATGGATAAGAAACCAAACTAGGGCAACTTTTGCACAGAATAATTTGAGGATCATAAATATATAAATGAACTGTATAATTTTTGACACCAAAATTACGCTGCTAAAAACTTACCATGATGATATCATCAACAGACTTGATGACCATGATGTTTAGGGAGAGCATGAGGAACCCATACAATGGAACCACACAGAGCTCCTAGAAGAATGGGTTCACTCATCTGAGCTGCAATGAAAAATGCCCCCACTACATTGTGACATGGAAACCAGGAGTAAGCCTAAGATCATCAGAGTTATGTGACCAAACGGCAAATGCAGCGAGACACGCGGGATCTGTCTCCGGCCAGCAGCCGACTGCAGGCCGAGAACAAGAAGGCAGGTGAGGAGCTGGGACCTTGACTTTTGACTTCACCCGGATTGACTTTTTTTTTTATTTGTTTTCGGCATATAAAACTGTAATAAAGAGAAAGGGAGGAGGGAAAGTCTAGATCATTAAATTCTTTTTTTTTTTTTCTTTTTTTATCGGTACCGGGGATCGAACTCACGACTGCCTGCTTGCAAGGCAAGTGCTTATGCCACTGAGCTAAATCCCTAGCCACCTATATCATTAAATTCAATGATTCTGCTTTTAAAAAATCAAGTTTAAGGAAATAATCTAATGAAGGGATAAAGATTTGTGCCTAAAAATACATTTATTACAGTGTTATTTATAAAGCAGCAAACACTGAAATATGCAAGCAATCAGTGAAACAAAATTAGCTAGATAAAATGGTTGTATTACTGGCAATTAATTATAATGTTAAATTACTGTGACTAGTACACTTTAGATATATATAATGGTAATATTCATATGGATACATGATATATCTTTTTTTTTTTTTTTTTTTGTGGTACCTGCAATCAAACTCAGGACCTCACACTTGCCAGGCAGGCGCTTAAGCCTCTGAGCTAAATCCCTAGCAATATATCTTGAATATAACTTCTTCAAAAACAAAAAAGTTAGCTAAATAGATTATTACACATTCATATGATAGGATGTTAGCCACTGATCAGGCTTTGAAAGACTTTTGATGACATGAAAAAAGTTCATATTATAATTTTTTGAATGGAAAAATGTATAACATAAATAAATTGTCGTAATTATGTGAAAAAAATTGCACATGTATTTGTGAAGTCCTATTAGGAAACAGTTTGGAGTGCTTATCTCCAGGTTCTAGGATTTTATTTTATTTTATTTTTTGGAACTGGGAATTGAACTCAGGACCTTGTGTTTGCCAGGCACACACTGTGCCACTGAGCTACATTCCTGGCCCTTCCAGGTTCTAGGATTAAGGATGATACTCATTTGATTTTTTAATTTTTCTAATTTTTATATAATAGATGTATGTTTCTCTTCATCTAGAAAATAATCATTTAGAAAGTCCTGAATTGGGAGTCTGTCCAGAAATTCCTAGGTAGATGTCTGTGAAAGAGAATTCTTGTGAAAAATAGCCATTCACATTCACAAAAACCCATGTTAAACAAAAGAAAGAAAATACATATTTAATTGACCAATACTCGATCCCTGGACAACAGTAGGAAGCTGGCAGTAATTTGGAGAAAACGACCACTAAGCTAGGAATTCTAAATGCAAAGGTATCACTGTTACTCACTTCCAGAGAGATTTAAAGAAAATTCTGATTGCTAGAGCGTGGAACACGGTAGTGAAAAAACGTATAATTATGAATATGGGACAAAAAGCAGGATAATTAGAACAAAGAACCAGAGATAATAAAGAGAAACCTGCTCAGAAAATTCAAACCCCACATGAACTATACGATCAAGCTAAAAAGATAATATGACAGGACAGGGAGCAGAGATCTCCTGTAATTAAATGAACATACAAAAAGCAATAATAAATGAAAATTAATACATGATGAATTTCAGAGCCATCACATCATAGGACTTCCACTCCATGGCAATCCTACCAAAGTACCAAATGTCAGATCTGTCAGTACTCAGAATGAAAAAGCACTTTCTATATCGCATTTACCTGTGTATAAACTGGGTCACGGAGGCCACGAGCAGAGCGCAGGATGTGCACGGTGTCATCTGTACATTTATGGTTATCTAGCCCAGTGCCTGGTACATTATTAAATGAATAAAAAAGAATGATTGTCTCAAAATTCATAACCCTAACCTTTTGCTTTAGAAGAAAAATAAGTGAAGGGAGAATGGAAAGTACATTCTGCACAGAAGTGCAGATGTCTATCACTCCTATCAGCCATGCGGTCTCGATATGGTGCGGTTTAATGGGAACATGTAAATCAGGAAGTGAGAGTCAAGCCCCGCTTCCGTTTGCTCCCCAAGTGATCTCGCACAGACCTGCCAGCTTCTCTTAGGCTCCCTTGCCACAACTGCCAAATTTAATTTGGTAGCAGGGCTAACATTACACATATAGTCTAGAATAATGTAATTTTAGAACAGATCCAAGGGGCGAGTCGTCCATCTCAGTGACAGAGTATTTGCCTACAATGTTTACAGCCTTAGATTCAATCCCAGCACCACAAAATAATGCAAAAACAGCTTTTGCAAGGAAACAGGGGAAAAAAGACATATATTAAGTACAAAAAGAAATTAAACTTATATAACCATTGAAATCAAGGGAGAATGTTTTAAAATGGTTTGCTAAGAGTCAAACTATTTTAAAACATTTTGGTAACTGAATATAACAAAAGAAATAGTCAAAGAATTATAAATACAACATGCAAATGCAATAAATGTCACTACAAAAACCTGACTATTCCTTTCTATAGAATTTTTTTTCCTTTCTATAGAATTAATGCAAATGTAAAATCAGTATAGACAAGTGGTATCAATGAGACCAAAAGAGATAGCCAAATTATATATAAGAAAGTAACATACAATGTCATGACATAAAAATACTTCCCCAATAGAATTATGAAATACAAATTAAGCTATTATTAAGGTATACAGTGTGTTAGCTGCAAATAACAACCCCATTAATGGCTTCTCTGCAGTGAAGCTGCCCCAGCTTCCAAGTGCTGGGATTACAAGTACGCGCCATTAAACTGGGCACATAGAAAATTTTTTTTTTTTTACTTAGAGAATTTTTAAAAATTAGATAGGCACATGTCTGTGATTTCTGTGCTACATAGGCCAAGGCAAGCCTGAACTACACAGCAACACTGTCTCAAAAAATAAAACAAAATTTTAAAATGACACGCATTTCTGTCTTTAAATTTGAACCCCGGTCATTAGCATGTGACTTGCTGGAGCGTGGGGGACAGATGTTAGAGCCATGGGGCACAGTGCTGAGTTCTCCTACAACAAGCAACCCCACCAAAAGTATCCCGTGACCACAGAGGCCCCAGACCAGCCCACACCACCCAAGGGCCTGGTCAGCTGCTGTCAGAGCACAGAACAAATGGCCAGGCTGCTTTGTTTCAGCATCTCAGAAACAGCTTTGTTGAAGGATAATTGATGAATGACAGACCGCACACATTTAAACACACAGCTGACACATTTTCACTTGTGTGTACACCCATAACGTCACTGCCATGGCCAAAGTGAGGCTTTCTTCCCCTCTGGAACCTCTCCCTGCCGTGCATCCCCTCCACCCCATCCTCAAGCCTCGTCTGCCTTCTGTCGATAAAGATTCTAGAATTTTATAGAAATGAAATCATATGCACAGTATATATCGCTTTATGATCTGATTTTTTACTCAGCACAATTATTTGAGGTTTAGCCATTTTATTAGGTGTATCGCTAGTTTTTTGTTTTTGTTAACTAATAATTTTTTTTGAAAGAGCAGTTTCAGGTTTATCCCTCCCCCAAAATAAAAGAGCAAAAAATAGAATTCCTGAATACCTGCTTTCTCCTCACTCCTGCCATTTCCTAGCTTTTTACATTATCATGGGACATTTGATATTTAATGACAAACCAATATCCATACACTGCTATTAACTAATGTCCAAATTTTATAATACTCTATTCTGCACCTTAACTACTTACACAGTAACAACCAGTGTTTACATGGTAAATATACATGTGTTGTATGTATGTAATTTATTCTCTGTGCTGAACATTCTGTGGGGCTTTTAACAAATGTACAGTGACAGACACCATTTATAACAAATACCACACCAACACAGCTTCACACAGAATGCTTTTACCTCTCCAAAAATTCTCTGCTGCACTTATTCATGACTCCTCCCCCCACCTACCCTGGCAAACACTGATCTTTTTACTGTCTATAGTTTTGCCTTTCCCAGAATGTCACACAGTTGAAATTGTATATATTAGCCCTTCTGACTGACATCTGTCACTTAGGGACATGCACTTAAGTTTCCTTCATGTCTTTTACTAGTGTGGTAGCTCATTTGCTTTGATTGCCTATGGATGAGGGACAGTTTATTCATCGCTTGAAGTCCATTGTGGCTGCTTCTAAGTGTTGGCAGTTTTGATAAAGCTTCCACAGACATCTGTGTGCAAATATTTGTGTGGACCTAAGTTTTCAATTCATCTGAGTAAATATCAAGGGATATAATAGATGAATCATGAGACTAACCTAGTTTTGTTATGGAACCGTCTTGTATTTAGTGTTACCAGTGTTTTGGATATTAGCCATTATGACAGGAATATAGAGGTATCCTATTTAGTTCACTCTTTTTATTGGTGAGTAGTATTCCATTTTAAGGACACACCACAGGCTCTAAGTGTACACTTAGTGTTTTCCCCCAGTCTGCAAGTGTTAGTTGATACATATAGTGATACACGTGTTTTTGAAACGATGTAGCTATTTTTTCTCATCAGTAAACACCTACGGATGAAATGGCCAGATGGTATGGTAAGTGTATCTTTTCAACTTTAAGAAATTGTGAAACTGTCTTAGAAAGTGGTTGTGTGGCTTGGCACTGTCTTGAGTAGGATATAAGAGCACCAGTTTTCCTATCGTTGCCAGAATTTGCTGCTAAGTCCGTTTAACTTTGGCGATTCTCCTGGGTGGAGAATAGCATCCCATTATGGCTTTAGTTCATACTTGCCTGCTGACTAGTAATTCTGACAACCTTTTCATGTGCTGGCTCACCATCCTTTATCTTCCTGAATGAAGCTGATGCTAGTAGCCTGCTGGAATCTTTAGTTCTCTCATGGATTTCTTCAATGTATTATCTTAGGTTGGCTACTTTGGTCTCAATTGTGTATCCCAAAGAGAAAAAGCAAGATGGCTCATACCTGTAATCCCAGCACTCTGGGCAGGTGAGGCAGGAGGACTGCAAGTTTAAGCCCAGCCCAGGCAACTTGGCAAATTAGTGAGACCCAGCGTCAAAAAATAAAAAAGGGCTGGGGATGCAGCCCAGCAAGAAGGCTCTGGATGCAATCACCAGTCTGAAAATGAAAGAAAGACAGAGACAGAGGAGAGAGAGAGAGAGAGAGAGAGAGAGAGAGAGAGAGAGAGAGAGAGAGAGAGACAGAGAGAGAGAGAGAGACAGAGAGAGACAGAGAGAGAGAGACAGAGAGAGAGAGACAGAGAGAGAGACAGAGAGAGAGAGAGACAGAGAGAGAGACAGAGAAAGACAGAGAAAGACAGAGACAGAGAGAGACTGAGATTCACTCTTCTTGTGACTTAGAAGCCACATAGCATGTTTTGACTATATTTTATGTGCCTAGAGTCCATGTGATGAGACTAGGAAGTTACAAGGCAAAGAACATGGATATAGGAGAATGTTAACTGGACTTCTCATGCAGTTAATCTATTTTGTATCTTAAGATATGTATTATGGAAAAAATATTTATTGTGGTATAAAATTTACCAGTTTTTAGACATTTTAAAGTACTAGTTCATTAGTATTATTTAATTTGTTGTGAAACTGATCTCTAGAACTTTTTAATCTTGCAAATCTGAAACTATATGCCCATGAAATCACTCTTCTTTTCCTGACTTCTAACAAGCACTATTCTTATTTGTTTCTATGGGTTTGATCACTGTAGAAGACCATTTAAGTTGAATCATACAGTACTTGTCTGAGCCTTACTCCACTTAGCATAATGTCCTCAAATTTCAACCGTGTCATAGCAGAACAGACTTTCATTCCTTTTTAAGGCTGAATAATATTCTATGGTATATACTATATTTCACCCATTCATCTGCCAAATACTTTGCTTACATCTTTTGTGCATAATATTGCTGTCTTACTTTCTCATTGCTAGGACAAAATACCTGAGACCCACAAGTTAAAGAAAGAAAGGTCTATCTTAGGTCAGTTTTTTAGAGGTTTCAGTCCATAGTCTACTGGCTCCAAAACAGGGAGTCAGGGCAAAAGAGAAGCAGCTCATGGCGTGGCAGGCAGTGAGGAGCCAGCCTTCTTTCCCTTTGACTTCTAAGAGTCTGTCGGTTGGTGTCATCCACACCCAGGATGGATCTTTCCTCTTCAGTAAACCCGTCGTCCTCACCCAGAACTAAGCTAGACCGCGCAGTGGACTAATCCAACATCACACGCATGACCCAGTCACTCCCGAAAGCCCCACCTATGAGGTGCTGAGGCTTTGGGAGGGCGACTACTGAACATGACTGTGCAAATCTTTTTGAGCCTTGTTTTCAATCCTTTGGCTATATGTCCTACAGTCAGTCATATGATAGCTCTATTTCTAATTTTTCAGGCACATTGATAGTGTTTTCCCCATAGCAGCTGCATCATTTTACAATCCATCGACAATGTGGAGGGGCTCCAGTTTCTCCACATCCCGACTCATTCTTGCTATTTTCTGTTTCTCTGACAGTAGCCATCCTAGTAAGTGTGGCAGTACATGCCTGAAATCCCAGCACTTGGGGAGCTGAGGCAGGAGAATCTCAAATACAAGACCAGCCTGAGCTACATAGTGAGATTGTGTCAGAAAGAAAAGAGAAAAAAAAAAAAGATTTGTTCTCAAAGAACTCAGAATCTTCCCATTAACTTGAAGTCCTGTAATACCCCCGATATCTTGTTTTGACTGATTAGACTCTATCCTGGTCTGTATGAAAGTATCATGCATCAGAGTATAGGCAACT